GAATTAAGGCCAAAAAGTTCTATCTTGGTCTCATCAGACCAGATAATCTTATTTCTCACCATCTTGGAGTCCTCCATGCGGGCTTTCATGTGTCTTGCACTGAGGAGAGGCTTCCGTCGGGCCCCTCTGCCATAAAGCCCCGACTGGTGGAGGGCTGCAGTGATGGTTGACTTTCTACAACTTTCTCCCATCTCCCGACTGCATCTCTGGAGCTCAGCCACAGTGATCTTTGGGTTCTTCTTTACCTCTCTCATCAAGGCTCTTCTCCCCCGATAGCTCAGTTTGGCCGGACGGCCAGCTCTAGGAAGGGTTCTGGTCGTCCCAAACGTCTTCCATTTAAGGATTATGGAGGCCACTGTGCTCTTAGGAACTTTAAGTGCAGCAGAAATTTTTTTGTAACCTTGGCCAGATCTGTGCCTTGCCACAATTCTGTCTCTGAGCTCTTCAGGCAGTTCCTCTGACATGCACTGTGAGCTGTAAGGTCTTATATAGACAGGTGTGTGGCTTTCCTAATCAAGTCCAATCAGTATAATCAAACACAGCTGGACTCAAATGAAGGTGTAGAACCATCTCAAGGATGATCAGAAGAAATGGACAGCACCTGAGTTAAATATATGAGTGTCACAGCAAAGGGTCTGAATACTTAGGACCATGTGATATTTCAGTTTTTCTTTTTTAATAAATCTGCAAAAATGTCAACAATTCTGTGTTTTTCTGTCAATATGAGGTGCTGTGTGTACATTAATGAGGAAAAAAAAGTAACTTAAATGATTTTAGCAAATGGCTGCAATATAACAAAGAGTGAAAAATTTAAGGGGGTCTGAATACTTTCCGTACCCACTGTATATGGAATGGATATTTTATCTCACACTTTATTTGCTTCTATTCTAGAACATGTGACGATTATCTAATCAAAATAACAAAATATGTTAGTCACACACTGACTGGCAAAAGTGCAGCGGCACGTCTAGGGCAATCACAGGTATTACACACACACACTGGGCACGTCGCGTTCAGTTCAAGCGGTGGTCCAAAACAATTTATTTAAATCACCAACCAGGCAAAAGTTTACTTCAAAAATTAACAAAGTGGCATGGAGGAGTTTGAAGTTGAACCAAAAAAACAAGAGCAAACGGAAAGAGAAAGTACAATCTATATTATAGCTCTCTAAATAGTAGGGGTGATCGGCTACCGATCCTTATCGGCCGATAATCACGGTGGGATGATTGATCGGCGGTCTCTAAAAAGGCCGACCTCAAAAAAACGCCATGAGAGGTTTGGCATGACATGCAGCGGCACCGTCTCAGTCTGGCACGGGTGAAATCATTATAATGCTGAAGGTGAGGTACTCACCTTCATATTTCTTCATTAGATAACTTATAAAGTAATTTGAAAACATTGTGTGTGACGTAATTTCACAAACAGCAAGAGTGAATGACCGCGCACGCGCTCTCTCAATGCACAAATGTCTTCAAATCACCACATCGCGTCTGTCTATAAGCGAGCTGCACGCTGCACAGTTGACACAGGAATTGTCACTTGCACAATCGAGGCAGTGTCACATCGTCACTAAAGTTTATAAATTGCATTACTTTTTAATTCTTGCCAGTATTTAACCATTCAGCGCTTGCGCGCTCTCCTGGAGACCGCGCGCTCATGCACACTCGCAGCGCACACACATAATGTCAGGTTCACATTACTCCGTTTGCAGTGCGTATGTGGTGTGTATTTTTTTCCACGCTCATGTTAACGGATTAATAAAGCGCGCACACTGCACACCGTTGCTGTCCGGCAGTGCGTTCCACGAGCGGTGCGGAGTCTATTTTTACTGCGCTGCAAGCGCTGAATTAAAGTAACAGCGCATTTTTGCAGTAAATATGAACATGGATTGACACGAAAATGTAGTAATTACACCATAAATGCATATTATTAAAGTCTACTGTATTTCAGTGTCAACACATATGGCTTTTTGGCTAGGTTTAAATGGAAATAGCACTTTTAGATAAACAAGGCAATAATAGATGGCAGGTAGGAAAACAAAGTTCTTTATGAACCGCAGGATTGCATTTAATAAAGATTTAAATGCAAAAGAAAAAGCAGTAGAGCTGACTATTTCTGTCAATGGTAGGTTTGTGATAATGCAAGAAAAGTAGTTTAAATGTTTTGCCACTTGCTTGAGCAACTTAATATATAAATCTAAAGTAAACGCAAAAGTAAAAGCATTGAATAATGTGTTTAAACATGTCTGTGAAAGATTGTATTACTGTACTGTGTAAAAAAAAGAATTGCAATGCTGAAAAAGCATTTTCAATGACAATGTTTGGATTTGAAATCAAAATAATGGATAAATGTTGTGTTTGTGGTAAACAGCCATGGATCAGTAGCAGACTCCTGTGTGAAAGCTGCTTCCCCCCTCACAAGAGTCATCTAAGAGGGGAATACCCCCCATTTTCAAAAATGGAAAATCAATGCAAAAATGAATTTCAGGCCCTGAATAAATGTCTAAAAATCCTGATTGGAGTATCACTATAAACAGTTATAAATGGTTAAAAAAAAGAAGGCTTTAAAAAGGTCGGTATCGGTGATCAGTATCGGCAGATACTGCTTTCTGTGATCGGCAATCAGTGGTCGGCCTCAAAAATCCTGATCGGAGCACCCCTACTAAATAGACTTTATTAGAGCCACAGAAAGACAATCGGTTCACTGAAAAATGCACAATACACAATTTTACAGCCTAGGGTGAACTCATTAAGTCCATTAACAATGATTTGAGACAAATACAATGTAATTTAATGGAAAACTGTTTGCGTCACATTGCTTTAATAGCTTGAGGTAAAACGTATGTTCATGTCCTCTCATCCTTGATGGCAAACTTACTGCTGTTCTTTCTCCATTAATACAACAAATTAATTACTATATAAATATGTAAACATGCACTACATAGTACACGTTTAGTTGGCGATGTTTTTAATTCGCATCTGAAGGGTCCCACTCTGTGCAGCACGCAGTGTCACATGCCAAAACAAACAACACGAGGTGTCAGTGATTTCCACCTCTAGAGGCCACTCTTGTACTATATAATGATAGCGGACCTTTCTCAGCCGCTGATGTTTGGTGCAGATTTTTGCCAATAGCAATCAACTATCGGTGCCGATTAATCGGCAAAGGGTGTTAAACAACAATCAGATCTATTAAACAGCATGTGGAAAAAATGTTCTAACAGGGTTGAAAACCTAGTAACAAATTTGGACCAATTCAGATAAGTCAATTATTTTCATGATATGGCTAATAACCGACAAATGGACAATATAAAAATTCTGCACTATGTTGTCTAAACAAACTAAAAATAAAACACTAAAATTACAATAAAACATTTAAATCTTTAAAATGTTAGATGACAGCACAACTAATCTAAATCTACATTTTCATTTAAAAGTCTGGGGTTGGTAACATTTTATATGTTTTTGAAAGTCTCTTATGCTCTCCATAGCTGAATTTATTTGATCAAAAATACAGTAAAAAACTGTTTATATTGTGAATTATTATTACAATTTAAAATAACTGTTTTCTAAATATAAGTACTGCAGAGAACGGATCACAATAAACACAACTCTGGTCAGCGATGAAATCATTGCACACAACTCCAACAGCAAAACGAAAACGACGGAGTTGAGCAAGAGCACAAAGCTCATAAAACCACAAGGAACCATATACATCCCAAATTGCAATGCAAAAATGTTGCATCACAATTTAAACCATAAAGGCCTGCGCAGGATGCTTCAAAAGAAACTGGTACTAAGCCTAGGACCATATACATAATAACTGGCAGCCTTTAATAACTTCAGTGTGGTGAGTCATAAGAACTTATGAGAAAGGTACATTAAAGGCAGATGCCTACAACAATACCAGTTGCCTCAGGCCCCCAAAAACCAATGACCAAAGCAAATATTACATCACCAGTTCTTTTCACAAGACCCTGTGGAAATTAAGCTGAAACTTGCACGCGAAGGGAACTTGCCAAGTTCAAGTTGAGCATAACAGACCTTTTATAAAAGTTCTTATAATTGAAGAACTCTAGCAACATGTAGAAACAACTCAAAAGTTGCAAGTATCTGATCACACATGCAACAGACAGCATGCAATACTAACGCTATATGTGTGTGTTTACTTGTGACAAACTATTTCACTTCCTCTTCTGTCAGTCATTTAATTATCAGACCTGACAAATCAGTGAGATATAACAAGAATATCGCACAGCAAAGTCTTTAAAAGGCAAAAAAGAATTAGCTGACTGAAAATATTAGACGTTTAAGCCACAGAATACAGGCTAAACTCGCCATAAGATTGTCTTTGACAGGACATGCGAGAACATAGCCACCAAAAATAATCTTTTCAAATGTGAGACTCCTACACATACTTGAAACAAATTATGAACATAACGACACATTAAAATACAGCTGACAGTTCAGCAAACAACATGCAGAACAGTGTATTTAGGAATGGCAAAGCTGAATTTCGTCTAAACTGATCTGGGTCTTACAGTCTCTTCAGTGTTTGTTTTGTAGTACTAGTACAAATGCTAATATACAGCAGCTCTGTAGACAATATAATTTCTCATAATATGTAACGTTAGTCCATAAAGCATAACTGGTTAGGTTGGACTGCCTGTTTCTGTATTTGCACCCAAGAAAAGGCTCGATATCACATAACATTCATAACAATATTTATTTACATACAAACACGGGCCTAATGTCTGTTGAAACTAATCTCCAGTTAACTGACGTGTTAAACTAGCTGGTTATCTATCAAAACAGCGCTGGTTAGTGGGGGGTTTTCTGGTTTTCGAGCAATACTGAATAGGACTTTCAATAGCAGATGACTGAGGGACACTGGGAATCCATTTGACGTTTCAAAACAAAATATGATGTGCACTTTTATTAAACTGACAGATAATACCGACTCTCTCAATAAACGAAAAAATACAGTGAACAATTGCTTACCCAAATAAATGTCACCAAAGGATCCAGAGCCAATTTTCCTTCCCAGTCTGTATCGGTTTCCTACTCTCAGTTCCATGATAAATAACAAAGCTAGCGATAAAGCTAGCTTTAACGGGAGTGATTTAAATGATATATGTTCGGAGTGTTTAAAAAAAGCAACGAAAATCCGTTCTTTGTTATCCGTCTATTCTTCCGTCTCTCCCAGCCAGAATCCCTATACAGCTAGCTTGCTAAAATCCCTTCACAGTAGCTACCCAATTTTCACCAGTCGTTTTCTAACATTCCGAATCGGGAAATATCAAAATATTAGGCTTATTAAAAAGAGTAAGCTGTGAACTTTATGCTCTAGTAATTTTTACCCTGAAAAAAGTCTGTTTAAAAAAGGATGAATGCGGATTTTGAGAACGACTCCCTTCTAGCTCCGCTGGCCCTGACACTGTCGTTTACTCTGTGTGTATCTGCTACAACAGAAGCTGCATCCGCGCAAGAATCCAGCGGGCTGCGGTGACGTCACTTCCCCTAGCAACAGCGGGCCAGTGGAAACTCTTCCAACCCTCCTTCTTCTTCTTCTTCTTCTTCTTCTTCTTCTTCTTCTTCTTCTTCGGTTAAGACAACAAAGCGTCTGCTAGGATTATTTCGTAATAAATCGGTTGAAATGTTGAAACATCCATAACTGTAGTTCCATTGATATATATGAAAAATGTTTATTAAAACTTAGTTAAGTGTTTTACTAGCGATATTCCCACTAATAAGTCTGGACAATGTAGAGGGATGTAAATCAATGTGTATAAATAAACATTTACACTGCTGTTCAATAGTTTGGGATCAGTACGATTTTTAATGTGTTTTAAAGAAGTCTCTTCTGCTCATCATTATTTATTACAGTAATATTGTAAAATATTATTACCAGTTAAAATAATAGCTTTCTATTTTAATACACTTTAAAATATTATTTATTCCTGTTATCAAAGCTGAATGTTCAGCATCATTACTCCAGTCTTCAGCGTCACATGATCCTGCAGAAATCATTCTGATATGCTGATTTATTATCAATGTTGGAAACATTGTTGGCTGCTTCATATTTTTTGGAACCTCTGATACTTTTTTCAGGATTATTTGATGAATAAAGTTAAAAAGAACAGCATTTATTTAAAATAGAAATCTTTTCTAACAATTAAAGTCTTTATTATCACTTTTTTGCTGAATAAAAGCATTAATTTCTTTCCCAAAAAAAAAAACATTACTGACCCGAACTTTTGAACGGCAGTGTATGTATGTCATTATGTATATATATATATATATATATATAAGTCAGGTGATATGTCATTGCTGAATTAGATTGATACATTTGCTTCTCTATTGTAGCCTACTTCGTTCAATACTGAAAATGACAAAGTTTACATCTGCGGGTGTTTACTGGATGTGTTCATCATAATGTTTCAGGAAGATAACTTGCAAAACCAGTTTGTAAAGTTGAAACTTATGTTAAACACATCTTATCTCTCTTTATGTAATCAAATAGAAATAGACTTTTAGACTTTATAGACTTACAGTAGTTCCAGTGGCCAGTTGCACTGGTCTTAGACTAGTTTTAAAAGTTAGTCACCTAATTTTTTCTGCAAGACTGGTCATAAGTCTATTACATAAAAACATAGATTGATCTATTTTTGAATCTGAAAAGTAAGACTGATAACCACTTGGTTAACTGCTAGTTAGTCAAACTAGTTCTTAAGACACAGTCTTATGTTTATGCAACTGGCCTGGAAACAATTGTAAAATTAATATTGATTGGGATTAAAGTGGGATTATCCTTTGTTTGCTTATTACAGTAGACTTGCTTCATATGGCAGCTCTGAATATGAGCACCTGCGTTATTAAAATATTTTTAAAAAGCAATTTCTAATAATCAGAAATATAATCTAAATTCCAATTGACTTGATATTCAGAAGCAAAGCATTAAGGAAAAATGATTCTGAAATGTATGCAGAGAAACAAGTAAAAGGCCATAGACTAAAACAACAAAAGCATACAGTCTGCAGAAAGCATGCAGACTGAACATATTCACAACTTTACTTGATTCTTCATAGTGAAAATAGCAGCTAAAAAGGTCAACAATAACATAAAGCAGATGATTTACTCATATCAATATGAAGCCTATAAGGAAGTGGAATAGTTAAGAGTCAATAGTTACAGGACCTTGTGTAGATAATAACTCATTGGTGTATATTTTTGCCTGCTGTTGCCTGCTGATAAGAAACACAATTACATTTATTTAAATTATAGGTACTGCTTAATAGCTTTTTTAATAAGCTTCATTTAATTCATATTTCATGATGTTTAGAGATGCAGCTGTACAATGTAACAGCATGCAGTTAGTTGTCCTAATGAGTTAGGTGAGAGAACATTTGTTAATAATTACAAAACAACAAATATTTAAATATAAGTACATGTTCTTGGCCATATGTTTTGAAAAACAACTTTTCTATGATAACGCCCACAGAAGCTGATATTGTATTCAGTGGGCCATGATTGGTCAGAGCAGAGCCAACACTTGAGACTGTATAGGTGAGAGTCACATGACTGAAATACTCAGCTTTCCCTTGCATGTGCTCAGTCACGTTGAGAGCAATGAGCCAGGAAACACAGTGAACGCCCACTTTAACAGCCATACCAGCTTTCTAAAAGAGCTCTAGCTTCAACACACTGTATTAGTGCAGTGATAAATAATACTTTATAAGATCTAAACAGAGGGAAAGTAATGCATTCACAACAAAGAGTTGACAAAATGGGTATGCTCTTAAGTTTAACTGGTACTTTCTGTAACAAGTGTTTTCACCAGTGCTCTGTCAACATAAATGTCCTGAAACATGAGGAAACAATTGCATGTCTGTTGATTCTATTATTAATAAAGGGAAGTGTCATGATAACATATCACAGGCATTCTATATTTATATTAACCATAAAAACAACACATCTCTAAGTGCTTCTTAACGTAATGATGTATTCAACTCAATACGATGTATTCAACAATACAACTGCTCTAAAGATCGTATATTAGAAAAATAAAAATCAATTGAACACTGATGAGTACAAAGAAATGTTTTTCATGGTTAATTCTGAGTATTTTGCCATTGAATACTATTTTTTAATAGAGGCCCCGCTGTACACTATAATAGTAAACAGCATGTTTAAGGGGCCAAATAGTAGAAAAGGTACAGTATTTTTGTATAATGAAGAGTAAAAATAACAAATAAGTGTGTGTGCGTGTGTGTATTACGGAGACAAAATGTCCTCAGTCACAAAGATGGCAATATCCAAAATCCTTGTCCTTATGGGGACATTTTTGGTCCCCATGAGGAAACAAGCTTATAAATCACACAGAATGAAGCTTTTTGAAAATCTAAAAATGTCAGCAAAAATGATTGTGTCAACACTGACATCTAGTGGTCAATTATAGTACGGACGTAAAAGTATTATTTCACCTAATCTGTAATAGTTGAAAGAGAGAAATAAGAGGTTTTTAAGATTCTATATTCCAGATTGCCTTACTGAATTCCTCTCGATTGACCTGGCGCAAACATGGATGTTGCGTATATACGAACACGATCATATACAAAGCATATATCTATACATTACAAAGACGACATGACTGGTTTTTACATTTGAACAAAAACATAATTTACAACCACTCAGTAGTTATTCCAAGCGGTGTGATATGTTGTCATAACCCCCGGAATAAATCAATAGGTTCATTGTTTCCTCACGGATGTATTTCACCGCGACACACACAACAGTTCATGTGGCGCATTGAGCTGCTGTCTGTGACTGGATCTTAAGCTACTGTAAGTGCGTGCTCTTATCGCAATACAAGCTGTTTTAAAAGAATGACAGCTGATGGAATCTCCTAGTTAACATATAAGCTCTGTCAATGTGTTTGCCTTTCACAGTTTATTTCTTCAGATATGTAACACAAGTCATACATATGACCGTGGTCTCAGACTCTTTAGTTTCTTTTGCTGAAACACATTACCAAAATGTTTAGTACTGGACAGATACAAGATTAACCTACTGCTAATCAAACTAACGTGTTATGTTAATTGTAGGTGCTGAACTAATTTAGACAAGCAAGCAAATAGTATGCATGTCTGTGAATTTATGATTTCATGTAGTCGTTGTGATTTCATCCTATGCTATGTAGGCAGCATGACGAAACCCTGTGGGTTCGAGTTCTGGAGGAGCACTCTGAAGGGTGCGCGGTACGTGGTCGCGCCCATGGTGGACCAGAGCGAGCTCGCGTGGAGGCTGCTGAGCCGCAGACATGGTGCAGAGCTCTGCTACACGCCCATGCTGCACGCCCAGGTGTTCGTCAGGGATGCCAACTACCGTCGGGAGAACCTGTATAACGAGCTCAACCAGGATGACCGACCCCTCATCACACAGGTGGGTCTCTCCGTCCTCTTTGGCATCAGTAAACACCCCGTGCGGTGATCGAGAGTGTTCATATGGAGTGCGAGTTATTTACAGTACTATCTCCATACAGTTCTGTGCCAATGATCCTGAGGTGTTTATCCAGGCTGCTCTACTTGCCCAGGATTACTGCGATGCCATCGATCTGAATTTGGGCTGCCCACAGATGATTGCAAAAAGAGGTACCAAAACTCAGCTGACACTTCATTTCTGTTGTATGTGAGAAATAAACCACCATTCAAAATTTTTTTTTTCCAGCAAGATTACTGATTTCTATTTCAAATCAACTTTGTTCAGTTGAACTAAGAATCCTGGGGAAAAAATGTATCACTATTCCAACAAACATAAACAGCACAACTGGTTTCAACATTGATAATTGTAAGAAATGTTTCTTGAGCATCGAATAAGCATATTACAATGATTTCTGAAGAATCATGTGACATTGAAGACTGGAGTAATGATACTGAAAATTCAGCTTTGCCATCAGAGAAATAAATTGTTTAAATAAAAAAAAAATAGAAAACTGATATTTCATAGTATTACTGTTTTAACTGTATTTTTTAAATTTAATAAATACACCCTTAGTGAGCATAAGAGACTTCTTTCAAAAACTTTAAAAAAAGTTTTATTGACCCCAAAACCTTTTTAACAGCAGTTTTTTAAAGGGGTCATATGATGTGATTTCAATTTTTCCTTTTTGACTGCAACGCAACGCGTAAAAAGACAGTATAAGTCATTATAATCCATAATTATGTCCCCACTGGATGCAACGAATGCCTCGTTATGTTTTTGAATCATCGCTCCGGCCTGACAGGGCATTACAGTATGGTAAGGGGCGTAACATTTCCGTCACACGCTTGAGGTATTCGGCCAATCACAACACACTGGATAGCTGGCCAATCAGAGCACACCTCACTTTTCAGACCGATGAGCTTTGTAAAAATCTACGCGTTTCAGAAAGGCGGGGCATACAGGAGAAACAATAATGTACAGTATGTGGAAAATAATGTGTGTTTTTTTACCTTAAACCGCATAAACACATTTCATTACACCAAATACACAAAATAATGTTCTTTTTAGCAACATCATATGACCCCTTTAACATATGAAGTTTGGAACTATAAATATTTGCTTCAGTTGTTCACTGAAATCTCAAATTTTAGCAAAGTTTCTGTACCTGTTTCCCTGGTACGGCTCATTTTTAAATTCTCTCCTAGAACACACTGAAGAAGGCTTTCAGCCGAAACATTCGTGTTCTGTCCTACTATTGATTAATGTAAAATAAAACGCAAAAAGAAGTGCGGATCATGGTTTTATATACTAAATTCTCTCCTAGGCCATTATGGTGTGTTTCTTCAAGACGAGTGGGACCTTCTTGAGAAAATGAGTAAGTTGTCTTATTTTAATAGCTCAGTGCAGATGTGAACCATGTAGAGAATGTGTCTTATTCAGGTGCTGTCGTTTACAGTTAAACTGGCTGATGAAAAACTTTCCGTGCCCATTACTTGCAAAATCCGGGTCTTCCCAGAGATTGAGAAAACTGTGAAGTATGCCAAAATGCTGGAAAAGGCAGGATGCCAGGTAAAGTGTTCCCATTGCTTGTCATATAGCAGATACTTTTGTCTAAAGTGCATGTGGAGTAACCTGGGAATAAGCACCTTTCTCAGGAGCCCACTTGAGTGAGTGAGGCTTAGGTCTCTTCAACCTGGAACTGATCTGTAAATGTTTGTTATATGAGCTGTAACCACTGCATTACCTCAAATCTCAGTCTAATGCGATTCATATATTCTTGAACCAGCTGCTGATGGTTTGGTATCTTTACAATTTTTTACAGCTCCTCACAGTTCATGGGAGAACTAAAGATCAAAAGGGGGCTTTGACGGGCATTGCAAGTTGGAAGCACATAAAAGCTGTACGGTAAGAGATACAACACTTGCTACTGGCTTTGACCGCCCTTAGTGTTTTTTTTTGATGGTGTACCTTTATTGTACTTGTGTAGAGAGGCTGTAAACATTCCCGTTTTTGCCAATGGAAACATCCAGCACCTGAGTGATGTTCAGCGCTGCATGGAGGAGACTGGAGTACAAGGTGTCATGAGTGCAGGTAACACTCTCCTCATGCAAAGAGAAGATTCATAAACGTACTCGTACAGAAAAACTCCCACTTTGATATTTCGCAATGCAGTAATATAAATATATGAAGACATTACTTTCACAGAAGGGAATCTCCACAATCCTGCCCTGTTTGAAGGCTGTAGTCCACCTGTGTGGGAGATGGCTGAGGAGTACCTGGAGGTTGTGGAGAAACACCCACCCTGTAGTCTGTCTTATGTCCGTGCTCACATCTTTAAACTTTGGCACCACACGTATGTTCGTTCATATTTGATGCTTGACACTGATATTTTGCTGTTGCTTGAGATTTTACACTTTTAATTAGGAATGCACGATATTGGATTTTTGCCGATGTCCGATATGCCGATATTTTTCAACTTATTTTGGCCAATGCCAATATATTGCCTTTTGTTTGGAAACAACACCAAGTCTCTCCTGTGTGGAAATTATAAGCAAATTATTTTTAATTTTGTTTCGTTTTTAGCAAGAACTTACTTGTTAGAATTAAATAAACAATTATGAAGTTCTTTTATAATGACAGTACATTGATGCTTTGAAAATAACTATAAGTAAACTATATATTAATTGCTGCATTTTTTTCCAGAAAGATGCAGTAGTAACCTTTAACATTTTATTTTAAGATTTAACATTTGTAGATGGTCTAAAGCAAAAGAGTTGTAAAAATTCTAAATATATTTTAGAGCTCATAATTTGTTTAAAAATATAACCTATTACACATTAATGAATATATCAGTATATGTACAACTATTTAATTTACAAGTGTCATGTTTGTAATTTTTTTTATTAATGTAAGCTATAGCTTCTGACCTTTAAATCAAAACATACTCATGATTTTATGACATAAATTACTGCTTTATTTAATCAGAAACAGTGTAAATGTTATTTGTGTATTTTACTTTCATTTTATTAGAAGTAGGCCAACAGCGCCCCCTATGGAATTAAAACGCTTTACTGAGCGGGTGTTGGGACCGGGCGGCTGCCGCTGCTGCCACTGCGTGCTTTTACTGTTTATCACACACTGAAGGCGTCATTCTGTACGTGCATTCTCAGTTTAAATACACTGTTTTGGATCGCTGCATCTAATCACCATTCAGGCAAAACTTTGCTTCAAAAATGAGCCACAATGCTGACTGATCTAATCGCTAGCATACCCATGAGCACATGTGAGTTAATGTATTCATCTTATCGGCAAGACATATCTGCAAAATGTTTCTTATCAGACTGATGCCAATATTTACATTTAAAGCCATTATCGGCTGATTCCGATATCGGTCCGATAATATCGTGCATCCTGACTCTTAATGAATTATGAGAGTTCATTAAATACACTTCCATTCAAAAGTTTGGGGCAGTAAGATTTTTTAAAAAGAAATGAATGCTTTTATCCAGCAAGGGCACATATAATTAGTTAAAAGTGACAGTAAACACATTTATAATGCTACAGAAAATTTCTAATAAATGCTTGTTGTTAAATGTTTTTCTGAACTTTCTCTTAATCAAAGAATCCTGAAAAAAAATGTATCACAGGTTAAAAAAAAAATAAAATTAATCAGTATAATGGTTTTCAACATTGATAAGAAGAAGAAATGTTTCTGTCTGAAGGATGTGTCTGTTAGATGTGACACTGAAGACTGAAGGAATAGCTGCTGAAATTCAGCTTTGACATCACAGGAATACATTGCAATAATATTTTATGATATTACTGTTTTTACTGTATTTTTGATCAAGAAATGCAGCCTTTCAAAACCTTTTAAAAATCTTACCGACCCCAAACAGGAAGTTGATGAATGGTGAATTCCATAATAAGTATATCTTTTTATTACAACAGCTTACAGATACATCAAGACCTGAGGGAGGAGCTGGCCAAAGCGAAAAACGTAGCTGGGGTTGCAGAGGTCAACAGACAGCTGAAACAACGTTGCCAGGTAAAGGGATTTTGTTGATTACAAATTCTTCATCAGTCCATCTTTATTCCAAGACAGAAAGATTTATTACATTAGGCTTATTTAATTTTCTGAAGCAGTTGCTTTTTACTGTTACAGAAGGAGATGGCTAAAGATGAATCAGAATGGACTCAGACTCTACTTCCCTTTCCTCACTGGATATGCCAGCCCTACGTCAGACCACCGTGAGTCTGTGGTCTCAGCAAAACAGTATAATATCAATCAAAATCTTGGACACTTACTAAATAGGTCAAAGCCAAGGTTCAAAGAAATTCTGTCCATGGTAGACATAAACTAGTTTGAATATAACAGTGGTTACATTGGAACTTGATTGTGAGGCTGGAATATTTTGCAGGCCCAAGGATCCAAACACTGAAAATGGGCAGAAAGCACTGGAAACAAAAGCTGTGAGTGTAAAGAGGGCACTGGAGGACGGTGACGGATCCAACGACTCCCTGTCCAAGAACAAGCAGAAGAAGAAAGTCCGTAACCCCAACAAAAACTTCTGTCCAGAGCTGAAACGTAAGGCTAAATCTTATCCCAATATTTCCTAATGCCTGCAGACATAATGGGGCCTAGAAGTTCGGGGTCAGTAAGATATTTAAAAAAATAATTCTTCAGTGTCACATGATAAATCCAAAATCATCATAATATGCTGATCAAGAAACATTTCTTATTATCAATGTCAAAAACAGTTGTGCTGCTTAATATTTTATGGATACTTTGATGAATGGAAAGTTCAAAAGAACAGCATTTATTTGAAATAGAAATCTTTTATAACACTATAAATGTCTTCACTTTTGATTAATTAAATGCGTCCTTGCTGAATAAAAATATTAATTTCTTTCAAAAATGTTACTGACCCCAAACTTTTGAACAGTAGTGTATTATCGTTGAGATATTGGTCGTTGAACATTTATTGATTAAGGTAAAGTTACATTGCCTTTACCTCCTTGTGTTCTTCAGCTAAATATATTAAGTGTGAGCAGTGTGGAAACCCTAAAGTAAGACTTTTATCTTTTCTTTCATCTGAGTATTTTATGGGTTTGATGTATTCATTCTCAAAGTGTTTACAGAGCCATTTCTTGTGCTTTATAAAAATCTTAAATTCACATATGTAAACAAGGCAAATTAATTTTACTCTGCTCCCTCAACAGGGGAACAAGTGTGTGTTCAACTTGTGCCGTGGCTGCTGCAAGAGGAAGGCTTTCAAGGAAGTGGCTGATTGTCCTGGTTAGTGTATGAACCAGCTGTTTCACTGTGTATGAACCGCAAAGTGACTTGATCAGTAGCTTCACAAGCTGCATAGTGAACAAGTTAGTTTGGATATGTTTAGTGTTTTAATACTGTAAAGAATGGGACATTAGGATTTGATTTGCTAAAATATTTTATCGTTGTGTACATTTTGAGCCGAATATTTCATTAAAGACCCTTAGAGAAAGTCACATTAACTTGTAAGAATGTTTAAAATTACAGTGGAGAAAATATTATAGAAGCACATTAATGTCATGGATTGGCCTAGCCAGTCTCCAGACCTCAATCCTATAGAAAATCTGTGGAGGGAGCTGAAACTTCGAGTTGCCAAACGACAGCCAAGAAACCTTAAGGATTTAGAGAGGAGTGGATCAAAATCCCTCCTGAGATGTGTGCAAACCTGTTGACCAACTACAAAAAACGTCTTCCCTCTGTTCTTGCCAACAAGGGTTTCTGCACCAAGTCATGTTTTGCTTGGGGATCAAATACTTATTTCACTCACTGAAATGCAAATCAATTTCTAACCTTTATATAATGTGTTTTTTTCTGGATTTTTTGGCTGGTATTCTGTCTCTCTGTTAAAATAAACTTATCATAAAATTACAGACCCTTCATTTCTTTGTAAGTGGGCAAACTTACAAAATCAGCAGGGAATCAAATAAATATTTTCCCCACTGTAAAACAAAATTGTTCCGATGTTATGATTATAGTCTCCCAGCATGCATCTGAATGTATCTAGTAATGTCTTTCAACTTCTACAAGACTAACTGTTTGCTCTCTGTTCATTTTTGGGTTATAGGCCATGGATTGAGATTCAAAACCAAGGCTTTGAAACAGTGTAACTCTGATACGGGTGGTGGGCTGACTAATGGGACAGTTTCCACTGCAGTCCATGATCCATTGTAAAGCAGATGTGTGCTGGATATGGGCAACCGTGACATCTGAAGACACATTGAACTGATTTATCACTTCACATTGCTGCACTGAATTGGAAGTACAAGACTGCATTTGTAGCCAAAATTGGTTTGTCACTGTTGATATGTGATTTGGATCCATATCACACCAAATGAACTAAACATGCAAAGAAACAGGCATAGAAAAGATCAGTGCTACTGTTACTTAGGCTAGTCCGTCTGTAGAGTCATTGTTTTCTGTAACGAAGAACCACTTTCTGGACTGCTGTTGGGTGAATAGTTCCATGTTCTTTATATTTTAAGATTGCTTATTAGAATAGTATATTTTGATAATTACTGGGAAAGTGGTATATGAAGCAACCACTCTTACTGCACAAACCTGTGCTGCTCCCTGCTCTCCTTAGAGGAGCTGGACGTTTAACTTGGGACGCTCTATGGAAATACACTGATGGACATCTTCACTCAAACATTATTTGAACCGCATTTTTACTATATTTATTGTCTTCCAAAACGAAAGATATGGCAGATTTGTATGTTGCAACCACAATCAAACACCTTTGACTTTTAATGCATTTTTATATATTTTTTTTGAACATGTACATAAATTTACTTTTACTCCGAGATCTCTAATTACGTTCCTGTATGGTCATGATCATTGTGACTATTTCACACTCATACTGACATTCATTTTAGAGATGAGGAAAGTTACACTACAAAGATTCTTGACCCAGTGAATATATTATTTTTTTTTAAATATGTTGTCTGATTCAAATACTTTACCGTAATCGCCATGATTGTATTGCCTTTGTCATTGTCATTCTTTGAGCGTTTCAAAAAAGTATGCAACTCCAATACAACTTTGGTTCAATATAGTGACATTTTCTTCTTATAAACCAACATGTTTATTTTTCCACACCTTACTTTAAAGCATCAGGACTCAACTCAGTGCCATATTCTAAATATGTGGGACAGTTACTCAGAAAACCCCTTGAATGAATCCCATACTGTCCATAAATGTAAATGTGTGTACAGAGCTGTGATTATTCTGTGTGGGGGCTTTTTTCTCATCTGTTCCTTGGGCTTAGTGTCGTTCAAACATTTTGGAAATTTTGCTCAAATTTTGAAGTGTTAATATTAGCATTTCTCCTTTTCTAATAATATGACCAAAGAAACTGAATAGTTCTTAAATGTTACTAGGTATAGTTTATTCAAGGCCATAAAAGCAAGTAGTCTACCTTTGAATGTCACTGACCAGCTTATGATAATTCACTGGGGTAACAGTCTTACTTAAACAGTAGAACACAACACAACAGAGAAATAACTAAATGTTATTAAACAGATGACGCTGAAATCACTCTAAAGAGTGTTCAAATCAGTCTTGCATTTCCAGCTGCAACACTAGAAACAGAAAAAACCTTTCCGGATTGAAGCATCTTTTTGAATGTATGTTTATTTTAAAAGCATGTTTTGTGATGAGGTTTCTCAATGTGTAATCAAGGTTTGTCACAAGATACAGAGGAAAGTGCATCCTTTACAAAGAACAACAGGCCAGTACAGCTTAAGTGCCGCGTTTCTCTTTTTATCTTTTTTTCCTTTTCATTCGAGCAACAGGGTGTGCTTGTCTTTAATACAGACAACCGATATCTTCTTCCCAACTTAAATAAAGTCTTTAGATTGTGATTTTTCTCTCTTCAGCAGGGAAATAATTGATTTCTAAACTGAGGCCTAAGATGCGGCGGCAGTGGCCCCGTGTACTTTCCTAGGAGAGGCATCTGGTCGAGTCTTCACATGTTGGTGCTCATTCGTGTTTGGCTGTTGGCAGGTGTGAGCTCCCCTTGACTGCCTTCTCTTGGAGGGGACTGCAAAAGAAATGAGAGGGATCAGTGAGAAGCATCACGCAGAGCAGACTGGGAAAGAAATGCATGCTGGTATACTTGAAGAATGACAGATGAAGACTAGGGGTATAACAAGCATTTACGTTTTTCTGTGTGTCACATTCTAATAGCTCTTTCGCAGGGAACAGAACCTCACAAGATCTCAAGAGAGCTTACAGTTTTTCCATACATATTAAAAGGAACTTGCATCTAGTTGATTACCTAAATGCAATAAGCTAGTGGACTGATTTGAAAATATTTACAAGATAAGCTCAATCAACAGCATTTGTGGCATAAGGTTGATAAAAAATTTTTTTTAAAACTCTTAAATTTGAGGTTCTCGTGAGGCACTTACAATGGAAGGAAATAGGGCCAATTTTTAATAGAAGTTTAATAGAAAATTCCGAAGCTTATTTTATAAAAGCACTGACATTAATGCTTCAATTAAAAAAAAGTTTATTATTTGAATTATAAAGTTGTTCTCTTCATTTATAGTCATTTTAGGGTTTATGTTATTCTGTATTGGCAACAAAATTGTATATACACTACAATTCAAAAGTTTGGGTTGGGTAAGCATATTTGAATGTTTTTAAAAGAAGTCTCTTATGCTCATCAAGGCTGCATTTATTAGATCAAAAATACAGCAAAAATAATATTGTCAAATATTATTACAACTTAAAATAACTTTTCAACTTTTAATATATTTTACATTTTATTTAATAATTTATTCCTGTGATAGTAAAGCTGAATTTTCAGCATCATTACTGCAGTCGTCAGTGTCACATGATCCTTCAGAAATCATATATGCTGCAAATCATATATATATATCAATATATTATCAATGTTGAACACAGTTGTGACGCTTTATATTTTAGTGATACATTTTTTCAGGATTCTTTGGTGAATAGAAAGTTCAATAGAACTGCATTTTCTTCTTACTGACCCCGAACTTTTGAACAAATATAATTTCATATAGACACATTATCTACTACTTTTGGTTATACTGCTAAAACAGCAAGTACTTTAACATTTTTGAATGTTAATTCAATGCTTTTTTTTTTTTTAAAGAGACAATTGCTGATAATTGAGATTAACCTAAAATGAACCCAGGATATTCATTTAACATTCACGTAGTACAACAAAACTCACATGCAGTTTGCTTATAAGTGCAGTAATGCAGCTGAGGCTCCTTTATATATAACTATGTCAAGCAAGGCTGAAAAATGCATGACCTGATGTACATAGATCATGTGCATGTGTCAATATGCCTTACAAATATATACATCCAGTTTTGAGCACATATTGAACGTCGCTGTTGTGAATTCTACATATTTAAAGGGATAGTTCACCCAAAAATTCAAATTCTGTCATCATTTAATCATCCAATTGTCATTTTTGGATGAACTATTCCTTTAAAGTCAGATTAAGTTGAAGTCATGGTTCGGCAACTAAATAAAATTCATAGACCAAACTCACATTTCCCTTACGTACCTGTATGAGGGCTCTGTTCCTGATTTGTGAGTACAGTGTTCTTACATGAGGGGCCAGATACATGTCTAGGAGGAGATTATCCTATAATACAAAAATAAACACTATGATTAAAACGCATGAATCACAATTTCAACTAAAATGATAACAGAAAGAATCAGTGTCTGAAACTTTGCTAAATCAAGACCTAGCAACTGAACACACTTCAGTAAACTTACCTTCATTTCATCCAGCATTTTCAGACAAGATGCATACTTTGACTCGTAAAACTTGAAGATAATATCACGGACTTGTGGTTCCAACTCTAAAAATAATTTAAAGGAGCTAAAAAAACAAAAGGACAGCAAAATTAAATCAATGAAATTTTTTCCACATGTAACCAGTAACACTAGTAATCTACCTCGTGTTAAATAAGACACCTAGTTTGAAAGTGAGAAAGTTCACCTGCTTGAGATGACATTTCGTTGCAGTTCCTGTCTGTCAAATGTAGCCAGTGCACACAGCCCCCCGTACACTGCTACATTACTGGGGGAAAGTAGCTAAAGAGCAAATAGAGCATCTCATTACACCATGTAGGAAAACACTGCATCTTATTTATCTACAAAAATATTATTAGAAATATCTGGTGTGGCATTAGAACAAGGCTGAAAATGACACCAACCTCAGGGAAGTCGCAGTGGTCAAAGGAGGCTTGCAGGAAGCACTTGGCAGCCGGTTTATACTTTCTTGAGGCAAGTTCTGCCAATCCTATTGTCACAAGAGAGATGATATCAAATCACAAGAAAGGTCAAAACCAGTTTTACATGACACTGTACAAATCACAGGAATTGACTAAAAATGTGACTACTGTATTAATACAGTAATGCAAATTACTCACACACACATATATATATATCAATACATTATATAATTGTATACACATTGTAAAATGAAATACAAATAATGTACTTGCCTGCAGCACATTTCAGTTTGGTTAGAACAGCTTGGTTTTGACTATCTCTCTCTCCTCGTTGCTAGATTGCAGAGATATACAAAAATCATAATTGTAGATTCACTCTCTTTTGAAATTTTTCGGCTTCGTAAGCAGATTGAAATGTTGCTCCTACCTCTGCTATCTCTGGAGTGGATTCAGCCTTGCTGACGTAGCTAAGTACATGGGACCAGTTTTGGAGGTAAACGCTAACCTATAAAATATTCAGGTTGTTTGGATGAGTTGTTAGAGACTGCCTGAATTTTTAAGCTATCTGCAACAACAATATTTATAACTGTACAACAGAAAATTCTGCTATTTGCAGGCTGAATTTTGATATTTTAAGCATGGAATTAAGCTTTAAGGAAAATTTTAAAAACTATATGCTCTTTCATGAATATTGTATCATCATTAAACATCAGTTGATGGTCAGGGAAAACAACAAGTCCATACCTTGATTACATTAAGACACATGTTGATGACATGCTTGGCGCTAGTGCAGTAGTCTCTGGCTCGGGAGTAGCATTTCAGGGCATTGCTGAGGTCACCACAGTCAAGGTAGTGATCTCCAAGGTCATCATGACCCCTCCTGAACACATGCAGATGTATAACAATTTTTTTTTAAAAACAAGGCACAGCATCACAGACAATAAAAATGAGACATTCAGTGTAGTGTTAATTTTGTCAGCTATTTTCATTTTAGTCTTAGTCTCCTGTTAAAATGTCCTTGTTAGTCTTTATCATATTTAGTCAACCTTATCCTATTTAGTCTCAACATTTTAGTCTAGTTTTAGCCAATGAAAACTTGACATTTTAGCAATAAGATTCTTAATTAACCGAACAGTATTAATTTTGGCAGCCATTTTTAATTTAGTCTCAAATGTAAATTTTAGTTATAATATTTAGACAACCTTGTCCTGTTTTTCTTTAGTCAAGTTTTAGTCAATGAAATCTTAGTCACATTTTCGTCATTCTGTACATTGGTTAAACTGATAAAAAATATTTTTTCTCAAAATTATAATCGTAATATTTGTTGTCATTTGATAAATTTACTTTTGCATTTCAGGTATTGCACTTTCTCCAGTAAGCACAAATCAATAGAATGTGGACACATACATGGTGTATTTTACCTTATCTAGTGTATTGATGTATTATAGGCTTTTTATTATATCATTTAATACCAAAGATGCAATCTCTGTGTCTACATTATGAAAACAGCTAAAACAAACGAAAAATATTATAACAGTGAAATTCCTAGTAATTCCAATTTGCAATAGCCTATTTCTCTATTAAAACAACAGCGGTTGAGTAAGTGCATTTATTCAGCGATCACAATCGCAAGCAATACAGTCGAGATCTCATGACAGAACACAGACCGGCTGAGTGATGCTTTTACTTAGATCGCTAAACTCCAGCTTGTTTGTCGGTGTTTTCAGATCATCGGCGGCGGTGCTTCTGCAATGAGGAGTGAGCGCGTGCGAATGGTTGCCAGATTGCTTAAAATAAGCAAAACACCGGGCAGAAAATGTATGCTTGTAACAGCGAAACTCTGATTCGGGGATTTGAACTCTTGATATCTGGCAACCACACTCATGAAAGTTCGCCTAGTAGAGGCGTGTAGAGCAGTCCGCAATAACATTTTGTCTCCTTTTTTTGACGAAAATAAAAAGAGGTTTTTGGTAAAGTTTTTATCTTTTTGAATACATTTTAGTCTCGTCATAGTCTTCGTTAACGAAATTAACACTAATTCTGTGTGGCCTTACCTTATGCTTTCTTTGATGGAGTTTCCCTTGTAGTTCTTGAGGTCGGTGTCCAGCTTCTCCAGTTTGAGCAGGGCTTTTTTCCTGGTGGATTCTGCCCAGGCTGTGTCGAGAGGAGGGGGTTCAACTGCCCCCTCCGGTACCGCATCTGGGACACCTTGCACATCCCTGTATTGACACAATTTTTAAGCATTTAGTACAACCTTTGTCAAAGTCATACATGCAATGTTTCCATGAGGAAACCATGTTAGATTGTAGAAAAGAAATGAACTTGAATTGCCTTGTGGCTTCAGTGAGTTTGCGATGGATTTCTTCGTAGACATCAACATTAAAGGTTCTTTGGACAAAGGACAGGGCCATCTTCAGTGCTTCCACACGTAGCTGGGGGCAGTGGTCTGCAATAAACTGCAGCCTTTCGATCCTCATCAGCCCACTGTAGCTGGAGGCATACTGCTCTAGATCCTGTACAAACATAAAAAATCAGCTCTCAAGAGTCCAACAAAAAGTTGTGGTATGTCATAACAGCACAATATTGATTATCAAACAATATGACAGATGCTCATTTGCCCATTTATTATACTTAGATTAAATGAGCATTAGATAAGGACAAAGGTAAAGCAGTGCTGTTATTGTTGAAACTAATACTATTAAACTAAACTAAAACTATTAAAATAGTTTTGTTAATTGAAATAAAGTGGAAATAAAAGAATAAATATTAGATGAAAAACTTAAAAAACCTAAACTAAAATGAGAAGTTATGGAAAGATATGGAAATATTAAAAATAAAAACTAATAAAAATTACAAAAGCACATAACAAAATGACTAAAATTTAAGTTAGATGTGAAAATATTAAAAAAAGCTCATTTAAAATATTAATAAATACTATAATATATAAATAATACTTTGTTTTATAATACTGTGATGCCTGAATCCCCATGTTGCATTATTTTTAATATAAAATTATTTTAATATAAATTTTTAATATCGGCCATTTACTGGTTATTGGCCAGAATCTCTATCAAAAATGACAACTTTTTGTTCAAAATAATTTAACAATAAGGAATGAATGATTTAGAAAAGCTAACAAATTAACAAAGCAAGTACACAATTGTATACAACAATATATACCAATGTCGGGTTTTCCACAACATAGTTGGCGTCAGGCGCATGCTGCTGGTCTTCCTGAGGGTCAGCATCTATCTGCATGGGCTCTACAGACCCCTGTCAATACAGAACACTCTGTTTAACACTCTACACTGGAGGACAGTATTCAAGTGTACGCGACATAAACAAAAATGGACATTTTTAAGAAACCAATATCCTTACCACCAAAACCAATCTTGTGTAGAAAGAAAAACATAATACCACAACACTGAGTATCAGCTCCAAGGCTTTCAGATGGCCTCACATCCTATTTGCCTTCATTGTGTGGTTACCTCCAGTGAGTATGATGAGGCGCTTGAGCTGTACACATGGAATCCGGTAGTAAATTCCATGAACAGATCAGACACGCTTCTTTGGCTGTTGAAGGACGAGGTTGATCTGACTGGCAAATTCAAGCTTTCCCTGATCCTGCCCTGAACCTGCCCTTCAGCATCCTGCTGACCTGACTGAAAACTCTCCTGCAAGAAGGCGGATGCTTATAAAATCACACTGGGGTGGCAGCAGCTCCGAGACAAGAACATGTCAAAGTTGTTGAACTGAACACATAAATATAAACCAAACAAATGGAAGAATGTTTCTATTTTAGAAGTGAGGATTTAAAAATATTCATTAGATGAAAAAAGTGGCAGCGACAAGTAAACACCGGCTTCGTGTATGCAACATTTTGATGCAGGTTCGTAACCACAAAAGACTTTGAGAGGGAATCGTCCCCACTCATTTTCAGCTTACTAGTCAAATATTTTGGGTTTTCAACAACAGATTCTTTAAAAAAGCATTATTCCACCCATCTTGAATAAGCGGTTACATCGCTGACCACACAAACTTTCCTACACTAAACATTTTTAAGATTACATAACTGCTGGTCTGTCATTCTTGATTAACTACATTATAATGCAGTTTCATAAATGACAGTCTAATATAACTGAACGTGTCTAAGGTTTCTAAAATTGAAATACTGCTCAATAAAATATGAGCAGCTCCACAGTGATTAATCATTTTGGTCAAGTGAACTAGATCAGGCTTAAATTGAAATATTCAGTGCTCTATATTCATCTCTGCAAGCAAATAATGGAGGCTGTGTCTCAAAACCTAGTGAGCTGAGCTGCCTACCTACCTAGAGTGTTTTAGAGCATCATATGAAGTTGTGGAACACCTGAATGATGACTAAAATGCGTTTTGTTTTGAGACACAGTCTGAATTTCAAGCACACTGGCTGATACAAAACAGACAGCTTGCTAACGAGATAGCTTGCTAAATACACTTAGCCGGCTAAAGAAAGTTCCTACACAAGTGTTTCACAAACAACCCCAAAAAACCCCACTGGACCACTTTGGGTGTAAACCAAAACAGCTCTATTGGATGTATTTATTGTCGAAAATACATCGGTCTCGCTCTTCGGGCGGATAGAGACGCGCTGCCGCTAAACTTGAGAAGTGCCTGTCGCGTCCTGAGGGCCGCTCTGACTTACGAGCTCATGCTAGACGAGCTAACAGCTCTCAACGGCTGCGACAGGTGAAGAATTGACACTGTAAACAGAGGCACTTCAACTCGGTATGCTTCTTCTACCTACTCTCGTGTTGTGTGAGATGGCGAAAAAGCATTTAAAGGCGCTAATTTACCTGAAAGTTAAAGACCTGCACGGGTAGTGGCATCTCCTCCTCCTCTGCAGAAACAGAGCACACAAACACATCCGGGGCATGAGAGTGCGCGTGGTCGACGTCACTACCTCGACACTTGGCGAGTCACTGCACTCTCATGCGGGTGCTACATTTTGCAGGTTGAAGGCTATAAGATGAGTCTTGGCTTGAAATGTCAAAAGAAAGCACATTTACAAGTCCCATTCTAAATTGAGTGACTGATTTTAAATTGAGACACCGTCTGCTGTTTGGTCCTTAGTACATTTAAGTAAAATGATGTAAATTCTGTCGACCCTCTTTATTGACCGGGTTCGTTTCTGAATTTTTATGTTTGAAAAGATTTGTTAAATTGTTCTATTTATCATATGTACTCATATTTTGTTCTTGTAAAATCATAATTTTGGTCATAATATAATAATGTTATGACCTCTGCCATTTAAAATGGTTAAAATATGATGTACTACTTTTTAGTACTAATTAGATTTTTAGTGAACTGAATTAAAACCAATTTTGGTCAGTTTGAACTGCAAACATAATAGTTATTAATTATACTAATAGTGTATGGAACCAACAACAACAATAAAAAAAATTAACAAAAAATGTATTATCTCTGTATGTAAGAGATATTGTACAATCAGCCGATCATCATCAAGGATCATATACCACACTGAAAGGTTTATTTTGAGATAATGACCACATGGCTGTACATCATCCTGCTGTTACTTATCAAACGAATAAAAGACCACATAACAGCCACAACTATACCTTCACAATGATGCCACACTCAGTGATTTATTTTTGAGCAAGGACTGAAACTGCCACTGAGATGATGTATGTGCCATTGGTTTAATTTTCATTCATTAGTTCAATAAAAAAAATGCCTTATGCTAACAAAATATAAATGCTCAATTGGCACACATACATACATTTTTATCTCTTTAAAATGGAAATATTAGTCATTAAAAGGTAAAAGAACATTTCAAAGAATCATCTGAACACTTACAAGTGTTAAAACAATTTGTTAGCCCTGCACAAAAATCAGTAATGGCACATTTCATCATGTTTCAAAAAAACAAAAAAAGACAAAACAACTTTTAAACAAGATGTACAATCTACACTAAATGGTTTCCATTGTAAGTTGCAGTATGTAGTCCATTAAACATTACAGCCAATTGTGATTACAGCTTATTTTATATAGTATTATTTTTGTTTATAGTATCTAATAGTATTTTATAGGCAAACAAATATTTCAGTGTGTAACAAATCATCACATCCAGTAGTCACATTAAAACACAGGTACAGTATGAAATGTTTAACAGGCAATAAAAGCTGAAAGTAAAATACTTAAAAATGTATTTACCGTCACCCCTCAAGTGAGAGAATTGACTATGGCCACACATGTAGGTCGCAAAAGCTATTCACAATATCTATTTACATAATCTTCTGACACATTCACAGATCCCAAAAGGGAAAATGATGTGCAGATAAAATATGAATAGCCACGATTTCCACACAATAAGCTCTGAAAAATGTAACATTTGTTGCACCAGAGCAAATAACCTTACAGTTAGCTATGCGTGTTCTTCAGTAACTAATTATTCATCCTGATGCCATGGCCTTATGTCATTCTCTTCCAATAAATTTTCACATTAAACCAACAATTTAAGGCAAAGCTAATTTGGCATATTTATGTTGATATATCCGTTACACCAGACACACCATGGAAATGCATGTCTCTGCAGCTTGTCACCTCACAAGTTGAATTGATCTGTTGCTAACAGCAGAGCTGAAGAGCAAGAGCCTGCTGTTTACATGGCATATCAATGAAGAAATGAGTGTTCCTCAAAAAACAGTACACTTCTTGCCCCTTTTCTTTACAGGTGGAGGACATAAAACAGCACGGATGGCCTCATCAAACACGGTTTTTAAACCCCGCTGTGTAAGAGCAGAGCACTCCAGATATTTCACAGCACCTACAGAGCCAAAGATTTCAATAAGCCAACTATACATGTTACAATGCCCCACTGCAATGCCGAAACACTATCACAGCACACTTGAAAAAGTTGGTAAAAAATTATTTTTTAAAAAGTAAATAAAGACAATTTAAGTAAGTTTTACCAGAAAATATTATTTCAGTTTTTGTTCTTCAAAATGTTTAATTCATTGTGTTACTTGCCATTTCTTAGTACTTGTTTTTTTTTACTTTACTAGCAATTTTGGTTCAACATAGGTGTTTTGTTTTACATTTAGTCATTTAGCAGACGCTTTTATCCAAAGCGGACAATGGAAGCAATCAAAATCAACAAAAGAGCAATGATATACAAGTGCTATAACAAGTCTCAGTTAGCTTAACGCAGTACACGTAGCAAGGGTTTTTTAAATAATATAATAAATAAAAAGAAAGAAAACAGATAGAATAGTAAAAGAATAGAGCAAGCTAGTGTTAGACGTCTTTTTTGCTTTTGTTAATTGTATAATAAATGAAAAGAAAACAGATAGAATACAAAAAGATTAGAAAGCAAGTGTTAGGTTTTTTTTTTTTTTTAATTTAAGAAAACAAGCAGCAAATGAAAGGGACAAGTGTTTTTTGTTTTTAAGAATAGAATTAGAATAGATGGTGCTAGAGTTAGAGGGTCAAATAAAGATGAAAGAGATGTGTTTTTAGTCGTTTCTTGAAGATGGTTAAGGACTGAGCTGCTCGGATTGAGTTGGACAGGTCATTCCACCAGGAGGGAACATTTCATTTAAAAGTCCGTAAAAGTGATTTTGTGCTTCTTTTGGGATGGCACAATAAAGCGATGTTCACTTGCAGAACGCAAGCTTCTAGAGGCACATAACTCTGAAGTAATGAATTTAGGTAAAGGGGTGCAGAGCCAGTGGTGGTTTTATAGGCAAACATCAATGCCTTGAATTTAATGCGAGCAGCTACTGGTAGCCAGTGCAAATTGATGAACAGAGGTGTGACGTGCATTCTTTTCGGTTCATTAAAGATTAATCTTGCAGCCGCGTTCTGGATTAATTGTAAAGGTTTGATAGAACTGGCTGGAAGACCTGCCAAGAGGAAAAATACCATATACCCAGGAAAAAGTTCTTACCAATCTCTCTAGCCATAGCAAGACCTTGTGGATAAGTGATGGGAGCTAGTTTCTTATCCCGCAGACGTTCAATCGTGTCTTTGTCATCTCGCAGATCAAGTTTAGTGCCCACAAGTATGATGGGGGTGTTTGGACAGTGATGGCGAACCTCAGGGTACCACTGCAAAGAGAAATCTGGTTAACACAAGGCACCCTAATACAAAGGGATCCAAATGTCCAGGAGATATTTCTTATTTTTTTGGTGGATACTAACCTTTGCTCTTACATTCTCAAAGGAAGCGGGGCTCACCAGAGAGAAGCAAATTAAAAACACATCCTGTAGAAAGCAAAGGAGACTCTTTGTAAAAATCAATGTTATCAATTATTAATTTCTGATTACACTGACACATAATTTTTATAACTTTTTATAACCTTTTTAAATAATTTATCATTTGAAGAAATTAATCTGTACGATTTATTAATGTATTGAAGGAAGCTTTTTATGCATACCAAGGCTGCATTTATTTGATCAAAAATACAGTAAAAACGGTCATATTGAGATATATTATCACAATTTAAAATAACCGTTTCTATTTTAATATATTTTAAAATGTCATTTATTCCTGTGATGGCAAAGCTGAATTTGTTTTGTGGAAAAAGTGATACATTTTTCCAGAATTCTTTAATGAATAATAAGTTAAGAACAGCATTTATTTGAATCTTTTGATCAGTTTAATATGTCCTTGCTGAATAAAAGTATTTATAAAATCTTACTGACCCCAAACCTTTGAATGGTAATGTATATTTTCATAATGAGGGACAGAGGATAATAATATAAATAAAAATAAAAAAATACAGAGGATAATAAATAATTAAATTGGACAAACAAATAATTAAATTGGCTACATGCCCAAAACCCTGCCCAGTGCTCAAAAGAAATAAGATCCAACTCCAAACAAAGCTAGTCTCTGTACCAAAATTAGTTATTGGTTATAATTTACAAAGCAAAAACAGACATTAAAAATTATTATTAATGAAGTCTTAGTAATGAGTAAAATAAATATTCAGCATCTTGACTAAACAAAAACACTGTAAAAAGAAAAAAATACTTGACTACTCCTAGCTAAAGTAGATGATTATTTATGATAACTCAGAATTACAGAGCCAGTAACAGAAATATTTACGTACTGTTTGGGGATAGGAGAGTGGTCTAAGGCGATCGTAGTCCTCCTGTCCTGCTGTATCCCAGAGGCCTAAGTTAACAGGCTTGCCATCCACCATAACATTGGCAGAGTAGTTGTCAAATCTGAAGGTCACACACAGATTTTTCAGAAACTCATCCACAGAAGTAAACTGACAGACATGGGCAGCACAGACACACAGGAATAATTCCCATTTCAAAGTATCAAACTGTACTCACACTGTGGGAATATACTCTCCTGGGAAGGCATTAGTGGTGTAGCTGATGAGCAGGCATGTCTTACCCACGGCACTGAAATACAAAAGATGCTAAGTGGTAAGTGTGTCTGCAGTACTGAGGAGCAAGGACTGCACAAACACGGCACATCAAGGAAACAATTGTGGAAAGCAGGCAGAAAGGCCTGTAGGTAGTCATCCAGGCACTACATTCACCCTTGGGCTCGATGGCACACTGGCAGCCACTAATTCACAGTTCTGTTCTCAAATGAACTGCCCCACCAGATTAGGGGTGAATACAGGGTGACAGCTTCTTGTCACGAAAACACACACTGCATGCACTTACATAGAAAGTGGAGTAAAGAGGGTAGACAGGAAATGCAGTGGTAAACAGTGATAAAGTGAAAAGTGATAAAAATTAGGAAAATAAGTTTAAGTGTGAGGAAGTCTGATAATAAAATGGGTAAAAACAGAAAAAGCGAAGCAAAAACATTAAGTATGTTTGAGGGCTTAGAAGCCTGAATTTGTATTCCTGTCATTAGATCAGTAGGCTGTGAAATGCAGTTTCACATGTCAAATGACAGAAAGCGTGTATCATGAGACAGGGGCTAAACCTTACATGGTTACTAGATTAACTGCATCAACAAAACAGCTAATATTAATTCTACAAACATAGAATTCATAAACTATGAACATATATTTAACTAATACCACGACATAAGTCCAAATCACACCAAATACTAGAGATAATAAACTATTTGACCAATTTTTTTTGTTCTATCGGTTCCTCTATATCACAACTACAGTATTTATAATAACATTATTCATAATTTTTCAGAATTTACAGAAATGCTTGACATGTATTTTAAGCTAAAATAGTAGGCCTATTAGTATTATTATTGTTAAAATTCCATAGTACATATTACATTCTACTATTGTAGTCTAATAATTAGCCTATCTAGTGATTATTTACAGAAAAAAAAAACTGATGTTGAATGGTGTTTATGTGACATTTAAATCTTAAAAATAACCAGTATGGGTAATGAAATGATTATTAAAAAAATTAAAGTTGACATCTACCAAATACATACCAATTACAATGCAACTATTTGTTTCCATGTTCATCATCGTTGGGAAAAATATCGTATTAAGAATGTTAGATGGAATTAGGCCTGTTTTATTTTATGATGCTCTCTGACAGGCACGTGCACAGGTAGGGCTCAACCTGTGCAGAGCACATGCCCTTTTTGCCCTTACACTCCGAAGTGCCCTTTTTTTGGTGATGGTGTTTTTTTTCCTTCAATAAATCAATGATATTGGTCACCCTTTACATCTGTCTGTCTGCTTTACAAATATTTAGCTAATGAAAGGTATTAAAAAGAGCTTGTGACTAAATCTTGTTGGATCCGCTCAAACTGTCAGTAAACCTCATAACTCCACCCCCTCTATCTTGACTGAATGAACTGAAGTTCCACAGCAGCTGAACTAGGTCTGCAAGGGTAAATAAAGATCTTGTTGTTTGAATAAGTACAGCGTTTTGAAGTATTCAGCATACTTGAATAAGTACACGCAAGAAACACTGTCTATAAAGGCTCATAATTTATGTATTTGAAACTGAGTGCCCATATACCGCGGCCATATAGCTACAACAAACACCTGGTGATGAAAATGTAACGCCGCCGTTTTAATGACGGACAAAATGCACATTTGCACACATTCACTGGTCAAAAACCCCGTAACTGCATTTGAGTTTGACACAAAGCCACTGAGTGATCCTCGTCACCTAGGTAAAATATATTTCTAAGAAATGTATGATTGCTGATACACTTAATTTATTAACATTTAATCATATTATATGGTCGCATGGCTAATTCATGTTTACGCTGTTAATATGCATGTATTCTAGCTAGCTAATTTTTTTATCTAGTATTCTATATGCTCCGCTCGTCTTCAAATGTATTAACGTAGTAAAACATGGTTTTATTACAGTAATGTTGTAGTAACCAAAAAAAACTTTACAGAATCAAACCACTGGGAAATCTTTATATTTTATCATGCATAATGTAATACATTACATATATTACATAGCTAAAAAAATAGTTTTCTTCAAACATAATTTTATTGAACTTTGTGTGCAAAGCAGAGAAAAAATGAATTGCGCGTATATATATATATATATATATATATATACCCTCAAAATATTGGATAAGAAAAAATTAGTAGTACAAAAATAAAACAACGGCAATATTACACAATATAACATTAAAAAGTGTATAAATCACTCTTTTTTCTAAAGAAACATTGTCCAACAGCGACACCAGCAGGTCAAGTTACAGCGGGAGTCCGAGTCTCTCTCGCCTCCCCTGAGCCCATTGAGTTTTAACAGACCAAATAAAATGTGCAGTGGGGAGAATGCACTTGAGAATGAATGGGGGAAAATCACGTGAGAGGAGGCAATACCTCCATCACGATATGATTGGATATGACTGGTTATGTTCGGCTGTGATTAGTTCATGCGATAAATCCCACCTCTTGTGTTCATGCATGTTCTACTATTTAAAGTAAATTTCTGTGTCTGTGACCAATATTTACTGAGCTTTGATGACGGATGACTCGAATAATTCAAAAATAGTTAAAAGTTAACTATTAAAAAGAATAGCTGAACATAAGTCTAAGCTTTCTCGGAGAACGACACAGTAATATATGTTTAATAATTATAAACACCTCAATTCTGTCTCAGCAGATCTCTCTCATCCGCTGAGCCAAACCACACAATCCCCACTCCCCCAGCGCCTTCTCGCAACAATTGTTTTCCCTAAAAGAAACCTCCGCACAAAAATAAGCAATTTTAGCATTTGTTCTTCAACACCTTACCCGTCGCCGACAACAACACACTTAATGGCTTGCATTTGCAGTGCACGAGTAGTATCCGACGAGCGAGAAATCTGAAGAAATAGCCTGAAACGTGATGTTAAGGTGCCTGTTCAGCTGCAGCAGCGGTCGGTGGCAGTCGGGTATTTCACGATACTCACGAAAAAAGACGAACACTAGGTTCGTACGCTTTCGGAGATCTCGTGAGTCTGCCTGTCTCTCTCTCATTCTGTATCATCGGATGCGCCTGTGAAAATATGATTCATTTAATAGATAAAGAAGTAAACACCGAGCATTAAAAACATTAAAAATTCATTAAAAACACGTGTAAAAAAAAAACGGCTGACATATAATTAGTATCCGACGAGCGAGAAATCTGAAGAAATAGCCTGAAACGTGATGTTAAGGTGCCTGTTCAGCTGCAGCAGCGGTCGGTGGCAGTCGGGTATTTCGCGATACTCACGAAAAAAGACGAACACTAGGTTCGTACGCTTTCGGAGATCTCGTGAGTCTGCCTGTCTCTCTCTCATTCTGTATCATAGGATGCGCCTGTGAAAATATGATTCATTTAATAGATAAAGAAGTAAACACCGAACATTAAAAACATTAAAAATTCATTTAAAACACGTGTAAAAAAAAACGGCTGACATATAAAAAAAAAAAACAAGTAGTGGACGGAACTGAGATTTACACGATAGTGTTAAAAGAACAGCTGTCATTCCGGTGCCACTTGGAATTACAGTTGTTGTATTTGGTGTGGATGGGTGGGGGGAAAAAATTATACAGAAATCTCTAGATATATATGAATGAGAGAGAGAGAGAGAGAGAGAGAGAGAGAGATCAAACTGTGCAAAAAATATGGTTATGGTCATTTACTTATAATATATAATCCTTTACATACACTATATATGTGCAGCTATAACAATAACAGAGCAAAGCTGATTATTATTTTTATAATAATAATCAGCTATAATATACATTTTAAAGGGGTCCTATTATGCTTTTTCACTTTTTCAACTTTAGTTAGTCTGTAATGTTGCTGTTTGAGCATAAAAAAGATCTGCAAAGTTACAAAGCTCAAAGTCCACTTCAAATGGAGATATTTTATTTAACAGAAATCATTTTTCAAAAACTACAACGAACGACTCGTTTGGACTACAACCGGGATTTGTGATATCACAAATATCGAATGGGATGAGACCTGGTTGAGCTGCACTAGAGAAGGCAACGAGTGTTATCACTATGTCGGAGACACGCTAGTTTTCCCAAGGCAGACGAACTTAGAGTGGTTACAATCATCCGGGTTTAAATCGCGCTCAAATTGATTTGATTTTGACGCAATATTTACACTGAAGCTTGCAGGTGGAGCATAATAGGACCCCTTTAGCTTCAGTACCCCCAAGAAAACAACATAACACACATGGATTTATGCCTTTGGCTTCCCTATACTCAAATGCTTGAAATTAACGAGGGAAAACAGAATCTGAAACTCGATGCCTCAATTAAGATGCATCATATACTGAATAGATAGACTACATGACTGCTAACCCTGCCACTGATTTCCTTCCATTCAAAACACTGTTATACAGAAACGCGAAGCAATTTTGGAGGAAAGAGACAATCCCGACAGACCTTGTTAGTTCAACATCTGTTCACATGACAGGCATCTGTGGCACAAAGATTGGCTCGTTTCTCAGGCAAAAATAACAACCAGCCTTATGGTAAATCTACAATGGATACGAACGTGACAGGGTACGCCACAAATAGAAAAAAACAGATAGAGAGAGAACACTGAAGTGAATGGGCATCTGGGTGTTGGAAAATGCATAAAGTAAGAAAATAAAGCGGATTTGCATTGGTGGACCCTGCAATAGAGGAGGAAAGAGCCTAGTGCGCCTCAGACCGACAGAGATACAAAGCTGTTGTACTGCTGTATGTTTCGCTTCAGGATATCTGAGCAGGGGCCAAGCACGCGTTCGAACCGGGGACGGTCAAGTTTTACGCACTTCAGCGGGCCACGAGCTACCACAGTGGCGGCACGAGGCCGGTTCATGAGCAGAGCAATCTCACCTGTTGAAACACATATGGAGGAAAATCAGAAAAGAGCCATAGAGAAACAAACAAACACATACATGGAATCAATATGTAATTACATTAGCAAAGGGATTTCTGGAATATGTTTAAATATATGAGCAATTTTCAAGAGAGTAAAGAAAATTGCATTTACCGAAGTAGTCAGATGGTGCTAGTCTTCCAACCTCTACAAATTCCTCATTCTCCGACCGCCGCTGCAGGACTGCTGCCGAACCCTGAGGACACAAATCTAAATCAATACGTCTGTTCTTCCATGACGCCTCTCTGAGGCTTTAGGGCTACACGTTCTACAACATTTTCATCATTATTTACATTTTTGGTGAAGTATACAAAACCATATGACTCTAATTAACACAAAAAGTTGTTGGAGAGACAGTGTAAAAAATTTATAGATTTAACAAGTAAAGTTACCTCAAGGATAATGAAAAATTCATCTCCTGGTTGACCCTGCACAACAATCTTCTGGCCATCTTCAAACTGGACTGTCTCGAGGGCATCAGCAACTGTCAACCGTTCCCATTTATCCAGAGACTCTACTCACAGAATGTTAGCATGTTATCATTACATATAAATATGTCTGTTGGATTTTTTATTATATATACATAAAAGGAAATTCATCAAACTCACCCAAAATTGAGACTTTGCTAAGGAATTCCTCATACATTTTTCTCTTTCTCAGAGTACTTCCCTGAGCATGGATAGAAAATAAGATTAAGCAGGAGAGGGGAAAAAAAAAATCACCCCCCAAAAAATTATATATATATATATATTATTTATTTATTTAGTCATTTATTAGACACTTAGTTATATTAGTGCTGTCAAATGATTAATCCAAAATAAAAGATTTTGTTTAGATAATATGTGTGTAATATTTTATTATGTGGATATTTATTATGTAAATATAAATACAAACACATGCATGTATATATTTAAGAAAAATGTCATGTTTATATATTAAATATATTTATATATAATATAAAATATAAGAATATAAATGTATAAATGCATATACACTAAGTAGTATACCAACCATGAGTATTCTCCTGTAGCTGTCTCTGTCGATTCCCCACAGCTTGACGTTGGTCTTTGCTCTGACACTGGCTGCTCTGGGAGTGCCGTAGATCAAAGCCAGCTCACCAAAACTGCCACCCTCTCCAATACTGGTCACCCACTCATTGTTGACGTACACCTGTCAAAAAACAACGGTACTTACAAATAGATCCGTCATTATCATTCACATGTATGCATTATTATATTACATCCTGATTCATTGCTAATTTGAAAGCATTGCACTTACATCCATTTCACCTTGGTCAATAACATAAAAATTGTCACCCTCATCCCCTGAAATGAAAAATAAGATACATTAGTCAAATTATTTTTCCCATTTTTACACATTCAGCTTCTCCTAAAAAGAAGCCTTACCTTGTTGAATGACGGTCTCTCCTGCAATGTAGGTGACTGAGAACATGGCGTCAAATATGTCACTGTGAAGATTAAAATCAGTTGTTTCCAATAAATGAAAGACTATATAAATTACACTGAATATTTCAATCTAATTATCAAAACCTCAAAATGTGTCACCTTCTTTCATTGTCATCAAGATGAGCAAAAAGCACATTCTTTTCAATCGCTTTAGCAAGAGCAGCCATAGTTTTATAGTCTTTAGGAATAACCTGTGAAAAACAGCAAAAACTCTTTTCTAAGTAAACAGCAATTGTACTGAAAGTAGAACTCAGCACGACAATAATATTATTGCCATGGAAATTCTTAAAGTCCCCCTGTAGTGAAAATCAAGTTTTTTATGTTGTTTATTTGTCTATGTGGTGTTTTTAATATGCTTTTAGACAAACCATGTGCCAATCCATTAATCAACACCATTGCTGAGTATTTTCTCCTTAAAAGTGTAGTTTCCCAATGGCACTCCCAGAAATGTGGTTTGAAACAGCCCTAGGTTTGCTACGTCACAAACCAATAACGTCAAGGGATCGATTCCTATCACAAACATGCAAAATATACCAATACCAGCACAAAACCACAAATAAATTACACCAAAAAAACCCATGAGGCCGTGGTTTAATGTGAATTTAGAACTGCTAACTTGCATTATAACCCACGGCAACAGTGTAAAAGTAGCCTGGAGTCAGACCCACTTCTCCCGCATCGGCGTCTGCACTTCACACGCATATGTATGCTCGCGGGCACGAATTAAGAATCACAAACGGCTGTATTCGAGTCTTCAAGGCATTTTGAGGACACAACATCGTCAAGTAAGTAACGTTAACGAATATTACAGTATTCACTGTAGTTGTCCGCTATTAAAAACATAGTTTTATCAGTCATTATCCGTGTATGCCATTGTTTTGCGTTTACTACATTTCAGTGAATCAGGAGGCGCTGGCTGGTGTGAGTGAGTGGATGCGGGGCTAATTTGCATATTCATAGATCAGCGTATAGTAAATGAGCCAAGGGTGTAGAGTTACAGCACAAGCTATTTTAAGGCATGAGAAAATTATTTTCACAAGAAAAAACATTTAAATATGTCATTTTGATTATCAAAGATAAGTTTTAAGGGATAAAATATTTGACTACAGGGGGACGTTAAAGAATGAGATACAAAAGTAAATACAAATTTCTGGTGGGAAAAAAAAAGTTACCTTTCTGACATAAGATGCTGCATCTTCCTCAGTGTAGACCTCTGCACTGATGGCACCGCGGCGCCGTCTGCCCTTAACCACAGGGTTCATGGGAGGAGAAACCTCATCTTCACGGGAGTCTGAGCGAGAGCTTGACTTCTGCTGGCTGGCGAATTGTTTAGCTTCCTCCTGATACACATAAACACCAATCACGGCACTGAAGCTTACTTTTCAAGGGTAAAGAATATTTGTAAAGAAAACCAAGCCTACGAGCATGCAGTTTGCCTTGAAAAATGACTGACCTTCTCAAGCCTCTCGAAGTACTCTTTGAGGAAAGCCATGGGCCTTTCAGGCCTGTTAGTGCACAGCTGCACAATGCAGTCCTTCAGCAGCTGCTGGACGTTGTGCTTCTGCACGTAGCGCTCACATTCCCGCAAGCTCCTCTCTTCTTCGCTGCTCGTACTGCTGGACGCCATGGTGACCTGCTGACTCCACACATGCAATTCACATCAGCTCATGAAACCCAACGAATCTGGAGCAAATCCAGTCCTTCTTCATCAAAACTGAGACAAAAACATCATTAGACCAACTATTTGCATTGAAATGTGAAGATCTGACGTTCAACATGAAATGGAATATTGAGGGCGGGGCCATATCTAGCTTGCAGTAGACTGAGAGTTGAAAGCGAGCGGATGTTCTGTTCATGCGTCAAACTGACGTCATCAGAGAAGGAACATCATTCCAGAGGAGAAGCAAATCCTCATATGTTGACTAAAGACTATGAAGACATACCATTTTCTGTGGATAAACTTGCACTCAGATTAACTGTTCTCCACAAGACTAGTGCACTGAGTAAATAGGGTCAACTTTGATTACATGTGGACTTCAAATAAAAAAAAATAAACCGAGATACCACAAAACGTTTTGTACGGTTTTGAATATTTCAGACCAAACTTATGACAAACATTAAATTAGGCAATACATTTGTTTCAGGTTTGAGACCGAAAACATACTCTATTATATTTACACTTCAGTGGTTTCTTAAAAACGATTTCTTAAGAAAACACACACACACACACACATTTATGATCACGTGTATGTGTTTGTGGTTAAAATCACTTCCTACATTTCTTTCAATCTTACAATGACAGTATATAAATATGTGAAATGAAAGCGCTACCATGTTTTTCAGTGTTACAAGGTTCGCGCACATTTTGACCAATGAACTTTTCCAGCCCATCTGCCATTACAGGATATGGACTAAAAATAATTTTGAAAAGAGAGTTTTCCAACTGATAAAATTCTAACTTTACTAAATACATAGAAATGTTTACATTATACAAATATCAAGTTTTTTTATGTTCTTCACTTCTATTACTTGTCCTGGCCTAAAAAATTTTTTTTAAAGCAAATTAAATTAAACGTTATATTCCCAGGTCTTCCATGACTGTGGGAACCTTCACGTGACCTCGTGATCATATCGTAAAGAAAACAAAGTACCATAAAAAAGTGATTAAAAAATGGACATAGTGCTTGCAAACCAATGTGTTGTCAAATTGCAACAAGTTCAACAGCTAACATGGCTCCTATATTGCGAGCAAGTCCATATCTACTAAATCAGTCAATGACTAAACTAATGAGCATAGAAAATTCTCTCGAGCAACATTAATTTTTTAAGCAGAGTTGCATTTTGACATGCATTCTGTGGCCCCTAGTCCCTGTCGGGGCCCCTGAGCTCATAAAATTCGTAGGTCGCATCCCCACAGGCATTTCTCAATTCAACGCTAATCGGTCATGTGAACGTAACATTATTTTAGAGCAGAAAACGCGTGACATTATAAACACACGCGATTTAGCACGCGTTTAAACGTTAAGCAGCGTGATCCTGCAGCCTCCTGCAGCTCTGTGTTTTCTGTAACCAGTTTTGTCAAGCAGCAAAATGCGCCATCTTGCAAGCTACATTATCACAACAACGGAACATTACACTAACCTCTCTAAGAGCCTGTCAGCTCACGCACCAATATCAACAAATGTTACAGCGAAGACTTCTGCTATTAAGTATTCATACCTGAGTCGCTTAGATGAGTTTGTGTACGTGTTTACTCCGTTTACACTGGCTTCCTCACAGTCCTCGGATGGATGGATGCCTCACCGGAAAAGGTTATGACCAATCACAAACAACGATTGACGTCAATGCGCCTCGATCTGGGAAGCCCGTTACTCCTGACAACCTTAAAGGGCAAGGGCTTGTTTTTGTATTGAGAGAAGATCGAGGTTATCAGACAAGCTAGTTTATTACATTCTGCTTCACATGCGCAATGTATTTAAATCATATTTTACAGTCCTCCTGCCATGACACTGAAATACAAAAGAACAGTATTGTTTGATTTGAATCTAACGACAGCTGAAAAGGTTAAAGGTTAAACCCAAGCATAGTGTTGTCCTTATTCAATCATGGTCATAACCACCACTGAAATTGCATTCTTTACTTCAACAAAACTAATACTTCACCAACATATCTCTGATAATGGAACCTGTTATGAAATGCAACAGTGAAGAGTTAAAAATATACATGTATTTATTTACCAGATACTTTTATCCATATTGACTTACAAAGGACAATATTACAAGCAGAAAGAATTGTTTTAAAATAAAACACAATACAAGAAGTGGAGTGTAATTTAAAGGGATAGTTCACCCAAAAATGAAAATACTGTCATCATTTACTTTCCCTAATGTCGTTCCAAACCTGCATGACTTTCCTTCTTCTGTGAAACACAAAAGAACGTTGAAGAATATTGGTACCCAAACAGCGTTGGGGACAACTGACTTCAATTGTTTGGGATACAAAAAAAATCTCAAGATATCTTCTTGTATGTTCCACGGAAGAAGGAAGATAATACAGCTTTGGAACAACATTAAGGTGAGTAAACGATGACAGAATTTTCATTTTTGAGGGAACTATCCATTTAAGTGTAAAAAATAAATTATATATATTTTTAAAATATAACCCATTATCATAAGACTGTACAGGCCAGGTGCCTATATCAGAATATGAAGACACACCCTCTCTTATCTCCTCCCTGCTGCCTCTGCAGCCTTTCCTATAACTGCTCAACCTCATTCGTGTCGACTGCCCAGAGTCCACGAACATAGTCTTCCAAAAGCTCTCCAGCACAAGGATATCGGATATATTACAATCTAACAAAAGAGAGGAAGAGATAAAGGTGAGGGCATAGTTAATTGTCCATAGTCAGGTAGGGTTGTTGTTTGCTGTACAAATCTTCAATCACTGCTCAGTCATTTCAATGTACTGTAACTTAACTATATTCTAGTAAGAATTGGAAAGAGAAGAATGGCTCTTTTTTAGTAACACTGTGTACACTTTTACAGAACATGTTTGTAAAATGTGTTTAATTCACTTGTAATTATGGAGATGTTGTGTTTTGGTAATGATTCCATATTTTGGGAAACGTGACTGTAATGTATCTTGTGAATGAAAATGTTGAAAATAACTAGGCTCACCAAGGGGAAATTATAACATTTAGAAAATTGACAATCAAGAAGATTTGGGTGGAGACCTCCAAGCTAACAGCACTCTGTCTTCCTTTTTTAGTCACATTCATTTTCATGATTGCATACCTAACATCTGCAGTGCATTCCAGGGTCTCCCTGTTGAAACATGTCCCTCTATAGCTTTGGATTGGAGCCTCTGTCCTGTCATGCCTGGAACAAAGACCGGACACGTAAGAGCAAACTAGTTGAGCTACATTTCAAAATAAATTACATCCCTTCAAGCTCCTAATGTTGCTGCCTGCAGTTCCATTTTCATCCATTATAATCTACTCAGAGGAATATCAGATTGTCTTTAGGAGAAAAGCTGCACTTCTTCAAATGTTTGCTATGAACTAGTTGTAGTATTGCTGCTTTATACATGGGTTTTTGTTTACCAGAAATTCCAATTTAACAGTTTTTCAGGTTTATTTTATGTGCATAAAAACGTTATTATAATAATATTATTTAATTATTATTATCTTTTTTTTTTTAGAAATCGCAATAAGCCCCAACAGCAATGTTGTGCACATTTACCAAAAGCAAGGAAAGGAATGGACAAAAATTCATGAACTGACAGAACACAGTGGGCGAATCACAGGTAAGACAAAAGAGAAAAGCTGCCACATTAGTCATTAACCCACCGATAGACTGACCCATAAAACAAATATTATCTCAGTGCACCAATGAAAGTCATTAACTAAACACTGTAAACTGTGCAGGTCATTTGAGTTATACTACCTGGAATTTAGTCACAATGAAAGAAGTAGTGACAGACATTTTCTTCTGTATTGTGACATACATCCGAATGAAACAGGTTCAATCCACCGTCATTGATTGGATGGAGACAGATCTGAATGCAAGCTTGCAAGCTTTTTTCTTTTCTTTTTCTTCTCAATAACATTCAGATATCAAAATTGAATAAAACGGCAATAACAAAAACAACTAGCTAGGTTAGCTGATTACCCAAAGAGTCCATAGATATTGCCATCAGTTCTTACTGCTGTTAACTTTCTCTGACAAACGGATGCATTGAGACCTGTTTTCTGGTTTGGTCGTGTGACGTTCGACATGTACCTCATTCTATAGCACTGGATTAAAATATTTAAAATACATATAGTTTCCAATAATAAATGAACATCTCTAACTATTGATTTCATTTTTAGGGATTGATTGGGCCCCAGAGTCCAACCGTATAGTGACATGTGCCTCAGATAGGAATGCCTATGTATGGACGCTTAAGGATGGGGTTTGGAAGCCGACGTTGGTGCTGGTTCGCATTAATCGAGCTGCCACATGTGTCAAGTGGTCACCTCTTGAGAACAAGTTTGCTCTTGGAAGTGGGGCCAAACTTATTTCAGTGTGCTACTTCGAAAAAGAAAATGACTGGTGAGACTTGCTTTTATAAGACCTTTTAACCTGAGTTTTGATTTCTCTACTGACTGAGAGACACTTTACATTACTAATCATATGTATTATCTCTTACATAGCCACATCTCTTGTGCAATCTCTCTTGATTGACTCTATAGGTGGCTGAGTAAGCATATCAAGAAACCCATTAACTCCACCGTTCTGAGTCTAGACTGGCATCCCAACAACATACTGCTGGCAGCCGGCTCTGCTGACCTCCACTGCAGGTTTGAATATTCAGACTATTGCTGTACCATGTTGCTTTTCAAACCGTTTTGTTGGTAACAGGTCTTTTTCACTGGCATAGAATTTTTTCTACATATATCAAGGACATTGAGGACAAGCCTGGGCCAACACCCTGGGGATCCAAAATGCCCTTTGGAGAGGTGCTTCTGGAGTATAAAGAGTGCGGTGGCTGGGTGCACAGTGTCTGTTTCTCTCCATCTGGTGATGCTCTGGCCTGGGTTAGCCACAACAGCGCCATCAGTGTAGCAAATGCCACACAAGGAAAAGAGTAATACCAACATTTACAAATTACAATTAGCTTTATAGATCTCCATTTCTTTATATAACACAGAAAGTAAAAGAAAATTATTTGCAAATAATTTGATATATCCTTGATTTCCATGCATCCATAAAAACCACTAGAGTTTGCTGCCTGAAATTAATAATATGCACAGTATGACCTTTACCAGTCACTTTTAGACTGCCTACATTATGGAATTTTGTGCATTGCAGAGTTACTCAGCTGACAACAGAACATCTTCCATTGCTGAGCATGCTGTATGTCAGTGAGACTGAGATTGTAGCTGCGGTAAGGAATTATCCGTCTCTTATAGATCCATATTGATATACAAAATTCTGTGTCTCCATGGCTTATCAGCCTATTTATACACGCAAATAAACCTTCAAGGGTGTAAGAAGAAGCACTGTTGTGAAATACACTTTCAAATGTTTTCAATGAGTTCAAACTTTATATTATTATTAACAAATGCAACATATATATATATATACTGTATATATACACTTGTTGCCTTGCTGCCCTATCAACAGCATAACTGTTTAATGATCTACCAAAGAATATTGAGAGCTTTGGTGATAACTGAGTGAACATTAAAACATTTTCACTAAGAATGACAAAAAGTGGAAAAAGCTGGTCAAAAACATACATTTACACACAAACTGACCACTAACCACAACTTTCAGATGGCATATTTCTTTTTAATCCAACTGTCATGGAATCAAACACACATATAATACATGTAGGGTTGCAAAAAGGCGGAAACTTTATGAAACTTTTCAGGATTTTTGGAAATTTTCTGGGATTTTTTGGAAACTTTTATGAATTTTTGGAAACTTGAAAATTTTACCAGAATTTTCCCGCCCCTTTGCAAGCCTAAATACATGAAAGTGTCTCAGTAGACAGGATGTGACATGATCATTGGATTCAGGCATGCCATAGTGCATTCCTACCTCTGTTTAATATTAATAATACCTTTTTATGCATATGTCTGTGGTGGGGATTTTAGGGCCACGACTGTTGTCCTTATCAGTTCTCATACAAGGGTCCTGGATGCTTGGAGTTTGTGAAGAAAGTGGACATTCCCAAGCAGAGCTCCAAGGGCAACATGTCTGCCATGCAGCATTTCCGTAATCTGGACAAAAAAGCGACTATTGAGGAGGAAGAAACCGGGTTGGGCAGCCTGCACCAGAACAGCATCACGTAATATAAATAAAAGGCTTGACGTCTGCAAGCACAGACTGTTTTAGCACCTTTTGTATTTTGCTCACATTTAAGAGAAATTACATTGCAGTTTGCTAAGACTTTGTTTCTACTATAGTCAGCTATGTATTCTGGAAGGGCCGAAAGCCAAGGTGGAGAAATTCAGCAGTGTGGGCTTAGATGGTGCCATGGTGGTCTGGGATTTCAAGGTATTTCATTGTCATTAAACAATATTTTGATATTACTGTTTAACACTAGATTGTCTATGCAGTCACTGAATGACTTATAAAAGTATATGAAATGTTTTCTACCTAAATGTTATCTTTAGCACTGAAACTCCATGGGATCTGAAAAGAGCAGAAGACAATAATAATCCAGGACCATCTTTTTAAGTTTGTTTGTTTTCTCAGACACTTTTTTTTTTACCCTTCAGTACAAAAGTTATACTTTAAAGTAATTAAAGCCTATTGATTTTATTATGATGTACTGTGG